TATGTGAATATATATTGTAAATATAAAATGTACACGCGCACATGTATATTAAAAAGGTTGGTATTATTTCTTTTTTATAGTAAAGTTATTAGTCAAAAAGATATGCTGGACAAGTGACCTGTAGATGCGCACAGTAAGTTTTCATATATATTTGTAAATTTATAAATATATTTATATATATATATATATATATATATATGGACAGCATATGTATTATGTATTATGCATTATGTTTGAGCAGACCCGAGAAAAAGATCGATGTGGAAAAGGAAAAGGATTTCGCTGGATGTTGCAGTAAAAAGTAAAAATTGCGATAATCAGTTTAAAATAAAGAAAGTTACTTGAACCTATATGGCCGCCTGGCTTCATACACCTGGCATGAGCGATGCAATATTCTTAGAGCATTGGATAACTCAGTGATTATAACTCGACTGAATGTGTAGAGAAAAAAAGGCATACGGAGGATGTTGTGGTGCCAAATGTTGCTCAGGTACAAAAGAAGAACATGGCGGATGTTGTAGCGATCCCACTAAGGATGAAAAGAGTTGCTGTCCAGCGGAAAAATAATCTATCGACGCAATGATCCTACTTAGCGATAAGGTTAAAAAGGCGGCCATATGGGCTATTTTAAATGAATTCGTGAACCCTTTTGCCCTTTATACCATACAGTTCAATTTTCATTATAAAATTTATTGGAATCAAACTGACGATCATATCAATAATACTGACATATTTATTTTGATACGTATTTGTCTCATGTTTTATACTGTTATTATTATCAGTACTATATTCTTTATTTCTTTAATATTTTAAATGATTACTATATTTCCATATTAGAGCAAGAGAGGTAGCCGGTGGTTGCTGCATGTCTGGTTGTTGCAAACAATATCGAAACGGAAAAGGCAAGAAGGACTCGGCAAGTGTGGATTGTACTACGCAGATTAAAGATGAAGGATGTTGTGGAAATCAAAAATAATTGAAAAAGATATTTACATTGTGTACATCTTAATTTAAAAGATTTTAAATATTTTCTGCCTACAAATTCTATTTTACATAATTTTGCATTTAATGCAATCTAAAAGACATTTAAAAAAATAAAATTACTTAAATCTCTGAAAAATCAATTATTCATAGCTACTGCAAATCCACAAACTGTTTCTGCTTTTCCGATTTTGACTTTATTTTTTGCGGAAAATACAGAATACAAAATGCAGAACAGATGCTGCTTATATATAGATTTTGTATGTTGTAAAT